TTTCTGGCTTGATCTGCTCTAGGACCCATTTGTTTGTCTTTCTGGCTACCCATGGAATTTTCAGCACTCTCCTCCAGCACCACATCTCAAATGAGTTGATTTTCCTCCTATCTTCTTTCTTAACTATCCAGCTCTCATATCCATACATGGTAACAGGGAATACAGTGGCTTAATTTTGCTTGCATGGGATTCTGACTTTTGTGCTGAGTTGTATGTTTTTGCATTTTAGGATATTTTCTACTTCTTTCATAGCCACCCCACCCACCCACCCACCCCCATTCTTAATCTTCTTCTGATATCCTGGCTGTAATTCCCATTCCAATCAATGTTTGATCCCAGATATGAGAACTCTTTTACTATTTCTGTTTCCTCCTTGTCTAGTTTGAATGTATGTAAGTTCTCTGTGGTCATTATTTTTGTTTTCTTTATGTTCAACAGTAAGCCTGTGTTTGCACTTTCTTCTTTGATCTTCTTAGTAGTTGTTCCAGGTCTGGGAGGTTTTCTGCTAGTATTATGGTGTTGTCAGCATAGATTGTTGATATTGCTTCCTCCTATTTTCGCTCCTCCCTCTTCTGTGTCCAAGCCTGCTTTCCTTACATTATGTTCTGCATATACAGATAGGGTGATAGGATGCAGCCTTGTTTGACCCCTTTGCCAGTCTGTTTCTCCATGTTCTGTTCTGACAGTAGCCTGTTGTCCTGAGTGCAGATTCCTTATCAGGACTCAGATGTGTTGGCACTCCCATGTCTTTAAAGGCGTTCCATAGCCTTTCATGATCTATGCAGTCAAAGGCTTTGCTATAGTCTATAAATCACATGCTGATTTTCTTTTGAAACTCCCTGCTGTGCTCCATGAGCCATTGTATATTTGCAATGTGATCCCTACAGCCTCTTCCTTTCCTGAACCTCACTTGGACCTCTGGGATTTCTCTCTCCATGTATGGTTGGAGTCTGTGTTGCAGAATTTTGAGCATAATTTTGCTTGCTTTGGAGATTAGTGCTATGGTTTGATAGTTGCTGGAGTCTCTTGTGTCTCCTTTTTTGTGGATGGGGATGTATATTGATCTCTTCCAATCTGTTGGCCATTGTTTTGTTTTCCATATCTGTTGACATATGTTGGTTAGCACTAGAGTTGCCTCTGTCAATGTGAATTGCAACAGTTCTATCTATTGGAATATCATCTGTTCCTGGAGACTTGTTTTTTGCCATGCCTACACTTTGGTATAATTAGTGCCTATACGTGTTCTTGTATGCAGTCAGGTTGTTTCCTGCTTTTGATGGCCCTAGAGTGAACCTGTTAGGGTTTTCTTGGCAAGATTTTGTTCAAGAAGGTTTGTCTTTGCCTTCCTATGAAGCTGAGAGAGTGTAACTTCCTCAATGTCACCCAGTGAGTTTCCATGAATGAGTTCAAACCTTGGTCTTCATAGTCATAGTGCAGCACTCAAACCACCACACCACACTGACTTTCCACCTGTACATATTGGTGTGTGCTTCTTAAAAAGATGTTCTTTCAGTTATGACTGGGAGGCATTCATAAAGTCATTGGGTCAAGCCTGCTGCAGATGTCTTCCTGACAATATTTGTCTTTTCACTAATAACAGTGGCAAGATGAAAGCTAAAACTCCAAATTGATACAATGTTTAATGTATTTTAACTAATTGCTTTCTTAATGAGCAAGAAAATGTTACACATCTAGACTCTTAACTGTTGGAAGATTTTTGCATTCTCTTTTGCCCTACTTCACTAGATAGGGATTTCCTGCATGCAAGCTCCTCTCTTTCTCATTCAAACTGACCATGTGATTTGGGTCACACCCTGTTTGGGACAAGCAGACATTCTCTCTCAAAGATGTTCAATTGAACTGTTTGTTTTCCATCTTCCTCCTCTCTCAACTTTCTTTGGAAAGATGGTGAGATAAAGATTTCTTTTTACCTCAACTATTCACTTGCTAGATTAGTATATAGCCTGTGTGTAAATATAAATTAAAGCCATTAGTAAACTTTTGTTTGAACTACAAGCTACTTGTGTTGTTTTTGGAGTCAGTCTCAGTTCTTAGAGACGCATAGTTAGACAAAGGCTCATTTCTGCTACTTTGCTAATTTAAACAGGCTTGGCTTTGACATTTTTGATATTTAATATTTTTTGTTTCCTTATCAAAGGCTGAAGCCTTAGGAAACTTAAATTACCCTACACTTACAACTTGAGTACATCTGCAGGTGCAATCCCCCCCCCTCTAAGAGTTTAAGAAATTATTGATATAAAATTATAGGATGAAGTAAGATAGTGGAAGTTTGGTTTTTTTTAAAGTAACTATTGGATTTTTAAAATACATTACAAAGAAAAGGGGAGAAAAAGAGAGAAGAAGAAGAAGAAAGGAAGTAAACAGAATAGCACTGTGGAGTAGGCATGTACTTTAATATAAGACAACTGTGGGTTCTTCCAGACTGTTACAGAAAACTGAGTGGTCTTACAATAGATGTCCTCATTTGCTGATGAGAATTGCCATTTTGTGTTGCTCCATGTTCATTTGCAGCCTCACATATACTTAGCTTTCTTAATCCCTGTCAAAGGCAGTGCAGGTGGAGGTGTGAAGGAAGCTGCATGATATCACAGGCAATTTGGCCAATCACTCACATCTCTTCAGTGCTTCTGCCTACCTATTGAATCTGGAAGTTTTGAGACCTGTTATGGGCACTCCTTTAAAAAAAAGTGGTGTTCTATAAATCATTTTATGTAAACTGTAAGAGAACACCCAGGTTCCCTCCTTTTAGCACTGGGGAGGAGGAACGGCTAAGGAACCACTTTTGGAGAAAGTGGGATAAAAATACTGTATTTCTGGTGTATAAGACTACTTTTTAACCCAGGAAAAATCTTCTCCAAAGTTGGGGATTGTCTTATACACCGGGTGGAGGAGCAGGAGAAAGAAGGGGTGGCATGGCGGGAAGAGGAGGAAGAGAGGAATTCCAGGTTAGAGGAGGAGGAAGAGAGGGGGAGAAGGAAGAGGTGGTGTGGTGTGAGGCAGGAGGAAGAAGCAGCAGCAGATAAGAGGTGAACGCCTATCCTGGGGTTTTCTTGGCAAGACTGGTTCAGAGGAGGTTTGCCATTGCCTTCCCCTGAGGCTGAGAGTGTGTGACTTGTCCAAGTTCACCCAGTGGGTTTCATGGCAGAGTGGGGAATCAAACCCAGGTCTCCAGAGTGGTAGTCCAATACTCAAACCACTGGCTCTTATTCCCATGTACTACCTATGAAACAATTGCAGACTTTTTTGTTGTTCTTGTGTGTCTTCAAGTCCTTCCCAACTTATGGCGACCCTAAGGCAAGCTTATCATGGGGTTTTATTGGCATGTTTCTTCAAATTATTATTATTAAATGGGGGTTGCCATTACCATCCTCAAGGCTGAGAGTGTGTGACATGCCCAGGGTCACTTACTTCGATGCAAATTGTACATAACCCAGAATGCATCACCTAGCATATTGGCAGTCCTTCCCCTCAACAGTTTCTCATCTCCCCCCGTTATACAGCAAGTATATCCCAAACTCTATATTTTAACATTAATATTTTAGTTT